TTTCTCCTCTCACTCCTCCCTCCCTCTCTCTCCTTCTCCCCCTAGTCCCACTTTCATTTCCCCAGCCCCTTCCCCTATCAGGAAGGCACTGTGGGCTGAGAAAATGCCCCAGGGCCGCCTCAGTAGCAAGCACAGCCTACTGTTGATTCACTGCAGTGCCAGCACGGGCACAGCCCTCCAACTGGTACTTGGCAGGAGGTCTTGGCTCTCAGCACAACGGTGCTTTGTTATCACAAATGATCCAGTGCACTGAACTGAGCTGGCACCAATAACCTCAGCACTCCTGCCAACAGGTCACATGACTGGCACTTCTGAATCCCTGCCCCTCAGCGCACCTGCACAGGACAGGACAGAGAAAGCAGCCGGGAGAAGTTTCTGTGTTTCCGGTCTAGGCCTATGGCTCCCACCTGTTGAGGCCCGAGGGACTCAGTGTAAGGACTTGTGAGGAAAGATTTTCACTCCCTGAGTTGGGTGCAGGCTCTTTAGATGTGACGCAGGGCCGCAACTGATGTGTCTGGGAACAGGACTGTGGGGAGACGCCTGGAGGAGTCACCTCTGCCACCCCAGGGAACGGGCTGGAGGAGTGATGTTCTTGGCTGTGGCCCACAGCCACTCGGGTGCTATTAGAGAATTTTTTCCTTCTAGATTGTCTTTTCTCAAGGACTTACAATGTGTCAAGCACTGCTATTAAATACACACATTTCACTGTGTTTCCCATTGTGCAGCTTTCATCCCAGAAAGCTGGGTCACCCTTCTGAGCGGAGCTGGCCCAGGTGAACAGGCACTGCTCACAGAGGGGGTGTCCACACTGCAACCTGCCATCCCACAAGGAACACCACTCCTTAGGCTTCCAGCTCATTTCACTTCAAAATGTCAGCAGAAGAGAAGATTGTTTTTAAAATTTCCTTAATCACATAGACTATTATGAGAATACTTTTCAGATTTTTTAATGAAATCACAGACTCTGAAGATTGGGAAGAACTCCACTTCCTCCAACTGAGGCTTCAATATCTTCATCCAATTTTGCTCCAACAGAAAGTGGATGGCATTTGCTTCAAATTGCTCCTCAGCTAGCTCATGAGCCCTTGGAGATTCGGTTTGGGTTGTTTTAAAATATGTCTTAGGAGGATGAGAATCAAATTGTATGATTGTCTGAATATTGAATGCCAATCTATAGGGTAGTTCTATCAACTACTGAAAGTGGAGTATTCAACTGTAATTGTTAAATTGTTTATTTTGTCTTTCAATTCTATTCATTTTTTCTTCCTTAATTTTGAGACTCTGCTATTAAGTACTATTACATTTATAATTGTTCTATCTCCCTAATGCATTTACCTTTTATCATGATGAAATGCCCCTCCTTGTCTCTAGTAACATTTTTTTATCTTAAAGTCTATCTTGCCTGATAGTAGTATAGCCACCTTGACTCTTATTGTGACTGTTTGCATGGTATACCCTTTTCATCATTTGTATCTTTTTACATGAAATATGTCCCTCTTGTTGATAGTATCTATTGACTCTTGCTTTTTTTTATACAGTCTGAAAATCATTGCCTTTAGATTATAGTGTTTAGTCTATTTATTTTAATATAATTATGGAGATAGTTAGATTTAGGCCTGTCACTTTATTTTTGATAACTCATTCAAAAAATTTGTTGTCCTCTTGTGCTTTTTTGCTAAGCAATTTTTTTTAATAATAAATTTTATTGTTATATTCCCCATGCAATTGCAGCCCCCCCATTCTGACCCCAATCCCTCCCCTCCCGCCCCCGCCCCCAAAAAAGTGTCTCTGGTTCATAGTTTTTTGTTGATTTTGATTTTCACTTTCTTACAGTTATTCATTTTCCTGGTCCCTTATTTAAGTTTTCTAGATTCCTGCTATGAGTGAGACCATCCGGTATTTTTCTTTTTCTTTTTGGCTTATTTCGCTGAGCATGATCCCTTCCAGCGCCATCCATGTTGCTGCAAATTGCATGTGTTTATCTTTTTTGAATGCTGAGTAATATTCCATGGTGTATATGTACCACATCTTCTTGATCCAGTCATCTATTTTTGGGCATTTGGGTTGTTTCCAAAGCTTAGCTATTGTAAACAGTGCTGCTATAAACATAGGGGTGCAGGTGTTCTTTGGAATTGATGTTTCTGTGTCCTTTGGGTAAATACCTAGGAGTGGAATTGCTGGATCATATGGAAGCTCTATGTTTAGTAGGTCCAGAAATCTCCACACAGCTCTCCACAGTGGTTGGACCAGTTTGCACTCCCACCAACAGTGCAGAAGAGTTCCTTTTTCTCCACACCCTCGCCAGCATTTGTTGTTGCTAGTTTTTTTAATATGTGCCATTCTCACTGGTGTAAGATGGTATCTCATGGTAGTTTTGATTTGCATTTCCATGATGGCAAGTGATGTTGAACATTTTTTCATATGCCTGTTGGCCATTTGCATTTCCTCTTCAGAGAAGTTTCTTTTTAGCTCTTCTGCCCATTTTTTGACTGGATTATTTTCTTTGTTGTTGTTGAGTCTCATCAGCTCTTTGCAGATTTTTGTGATCAGTCCTTTATCATTAGTGTTGTGTGCAAAAATGTTCTCCCAGTTGGTGGGGTTTCTCTTTGTTTTTGTTATTGTCTCTTTTGCTGTGCAGAAGCTCTTTAATTTGATGTAGTCCCAGCTGTTTATCTTTGCCTTCACTATCACTGCTTTGGGTGATGTGTCTGTAAAGATGTCTTTGATGTGCAAATCACGTAGTGTTTCGCCTATATTTCCTTCTATATATTTTATGGTTTCAGGTCTTATGTCTAGTTCTTTAATCCATTTTGAGTTGATTTTTGTGTATGGTGTGAGGTAGTGGTCAAGCTTCATTCTTTTGCATGTAGCGACCCAGTTTTCCCAGCACCATTTATTGAACAAACTTTCTTTGCTCCAATGCATAGTCTTTGCTCATTTGTCAAAGATTAGTTGACCATAAATCTGTGGGTTTATTTCTGGATTTTCTATTCTATTCCATTGGTCTGTATGTCTGTTCTTGTTCCAATACCATGCAGTTTTGATGATTATGGCTTTGTAGTATAGTTTGAAGTCTGGGAGTGTAATGCCTCCATTCCCTTCTTTTTTTTTCAGGAGAGCTTTGGCTATTCGGGGTTTTTTGTGATTCCATATGAATTTCATCAATAATTGTTCTATTTCTTTGAAGAATGACATTGAAATTTTGATTGGAATAGCATTGAATCTGTATATTGCTTTTGGAAGAATGGCCATTTTAATAATGTTTATTCTTCCAATCCACGAGCAGGGGATGTCTCTCCATTTCTTTGTGTCTTCTTCTATTTCTTTTAACAGTGTTTTATAGTTTTCTTTGTATAGGTCCTTTACCTCTTTTGTTAGATTTATTCCCAAATATTTGATTTTTTTTGTTTCAATAACAAAAGGGATTTTTTTTTGATTTCTTCTTCTTCAGATTTATTGTGCTAAACAATTTTTTTAGGGGAGCTTTATTGTTTTTTTATTTTGGTTATATTCTTAGTGGTTGCTCTACAGATTAAATATGCACATTAATTTATACCATTTATTCCATTGAATAACATAATTCCAGTAAAATATAACAATTTATGTATATTTTCATTTCCAACCCCACTCCTTTGTGTCATCAACATATAGCTATATAGTTTATAACCACATTAATATATTATTATAACTTTTGCTTTATATAATCTTATGTCTTTTAACAAAGTTAGACAACCCCAACATGTAAAATATGAAGCACAGAAACTAGATAATATAGTTACTACAGAATACTTGTACCCTGCATTCATTCTGGGTGAGGGAAGGCTTTGTTGAAGACCATAATGCCTTACTGCTTTGGCCATGAGTAAGGACATAGTATTCTGATGACGCTCCACTTTTTCTTTTTTTTTTATTTCAAACAATTTTTTTTTAAAGAGGCACGTATTTTATTTATTTATTTATTTATTTGTTTGTTTGTTTGTTTATACAAGCACTGGGTACAGTCAGAAGCGCGGGAGGGTGAGAGAATTCACCAGAGCCAGAGCAGGGAGCAGAGCAGGCAGAAGGACCGAAGTACACTGCTGCGGGGAGCAGCAGACGGCAGGAGAGGTCTGCACACCATGTGGGACCCTCCTCCGGTGGCCGGGGAGCAGCCGGGTATCGAACCGGCGCCGCAGAGGCCGCGGGGAGCTTCGCAACCCAGTGCTCAAATGCTGCGCCACCGGGGAGGCCCTGATACTCCACTTTTAATTTGGTCTTCCTCCCAGCCATTCTTCCTCATTCTCTGTTCACCCCTCCATTCACCCTTATCCACCACAAGTGTTTCCCAGAGTACGAGAGCCTGATAGAGAAGGAGGTTGGGTGTGGGGTTAGCAAGGTACATAATGCTAATATGAAATAAGACCTAATATTTATTTTTTAAAAAAAGATTTATTTTTTTTATGCATACAAGAACTGGGGTACAGGCCAGACATGCAAGGTGGGTAGCTGTGAGAGGATTCACCGTCAGAGACAGAGTGGGGAACAGAACAGGCAGACTGACTGAAGTACACTGCTGAGGGGAGCAGTGGGTGAGACAGGAGAGGTCTGCTGCGCCATGTGTGTAGCTCCCTGGCCGGGGATTGAATGCGTGCCACAGTTTCTGCAGTTAGCTTCATATGTTGCCTCTTAATCCCTTGCGCCACCAGGGAGGCCCAAGGCCTATATACTGAGCCATATCTTATGTTACTTCCGCTATTCTAACTCAGGGGGATTTTCCTGTGCCAGGGAGCTAGAGCAAGGCTTCTCCGCCCTGTTCTTCCCCATGATGGTGGAGATGAAGGAGATCAAGTCTGATATGAATCTGGACTTCTTGAGGAGGAATAATATTGTACTTGGCTCTTTTTACCCACCAGTTTTGGACACAAAGAGCTTCTGGACTGGCCAGAGACTGTCTAATTTACCAGTTCTCAGAAGAGGAGGGTGAGATTTTCATGTTGTTGTACTCTTTTTTTTTTTTGTTTGAGCATTTTAATTTGATTTTATATATTTTTATATCATCTTTCATTTTTGCACATTGTATGCATCTTCATCTTGGTTATAGTCCCATTACAATTCCCACCCCCCTTGTTTTGATCCTCCTCCTATTAAGAAAGCATCCAGAATTCTCTGATGTTTGTCTCAGTAGGGAAACATACATTTGATGCTGAAAATGCCTAATTATGACCACCTGCCTTTCCTTCTCACTTCAGGCCACATACATTTATAAAACCATGTCCTTACAGGATGCATGAGAGCAGTGATTGCAGTGACATCAAAGCCAGGGTTCTGCGCATGGAGCTGCACTTTGAATGACGAATAATGAGAGGAGATGGGGATGTAAAGGGAGGAATTGCTAGCGATGCTTGAAACTGGACGGAAGGCACAGGTGTCACCAGCCACCTGGGGCAGTTGTTTTGCAATGAAGTAGCATAAAATCAGAGAGCATAGCTGAGTCCATGTCATGCTTCTGAGGTCCGGATGGTGTTGGATGAGGGAGTGGGGAGGAGAAGATTGGGCAAGGGAAGACGAGAGAGCCCTGGGCATCATGACTCAATACGAGGAGACATTCTGAAGGTCATGATCCAAGTCGAGGCTCAGCTGGAGTGGCTGCACCCCTGCCAGGGAGGCTTCAAATATTCATTGTCAAGTTGATGAACTGGGAAGTGAGGGATCAAGGGAGAGAGAGAGAGAAGGGCTGGTTATTCTTGGTTGGTTTTTCTTTCACTTCTCTACCAGTTTATGTCACAGGAGCACCTACATCTGATCCTTTTGTCCGCAAACATGGACTTCTAACTCAACTGGACACCTCAGCACTTTAAGTTTTGCTGGGTGAAGTCAAGTCCAGCACAGATGGTGAGAGAGAGCAAGCCTGCTTTCTCCCCATCGAAGCAGACAGTGCCTGAGGCACCATGGGCAGCAAAATAAGGTGCCTTTTCTGCTTTAAGGAGGAGTGCCCTCAGCTGGAGGAGAGAGGTGATCCTCCATTAGGGAGGGGTTGCAGAAAGGGAAGCAAGCCTCTGAATATGCATAGAGTTCCTCCTCATCTATGTCCTGAGCCCATCCTGCCTCCTTCCCACCAGCATTCTGAATACAGCATGGGGGCTGCAAGAGCATAATAGGTTTTCTCTCCTCTCTGCCCTCTGGAAGGCTGCTGGATTCTTTTGGCAGAAAAACTGCAGGTGAGGCCAACTCAGGCTGGGACCGGCTGCTTTCAAGGTGGAGGGAGGCTGCATTCAGGACAATGTCTTTGCTGCACTCTGGACTCACAGGGGAATAACAAAAATAGCAATGCTTGGGTCTATCTCTAGGTATTTGGATTTATTGGACTGGGGCATGGCCAGGGCACTGGGTTTTAAAATCTCCCCTTGTGATGCTGATGGACAATCAGAGTCGAGCAAGCATAGCATGAAAGGAGAGGATGCAAAGATTTTTCCAGTTATGTTGGTAAATAACTATGGGATGAGGGCAAGAACCTGCCAGAGGACTTTGGTCTGTTGAGGCGAAGGGGACAGGGACAAAGCATTCAGCAGTCCTCACGCCAGCGGACGTTGGGTTGGAAGCGGCACCTTGAACCTGAAACAATGGAAAGCTTCCTCTCTGTTTCTGGGTCTTTGAGGGACACGTTGCTGTTGAAAGACAACCCTCCTCTCCCCCCTGTTGCCGCATGGACAGGGAGCACCTGTCACTCTCCCTTCGTGCATGTTTTGGTAAACTTTGAATTCAATGAGAAATAAAAGTGGGTCTAGGGTCACTCTTGATCTCATAAGGAATTCGTTTGAGTGTGTCCATTTTTTTTTTAAACACTGGGGTGTTATTTTTTACAGTTATCAATCAGAGAGCTACATTCACTGCATTGTGGCACATGCTAAAGGTAGAAGTAAATACTAGAAATGAAAAATGACCAGTTTCTTTTCTCATTGAAATTATAATGTAGTCAGGGATCTGAGACACACATGTAAGAAAAGTAGTGATGAGCCAGTATAATAAACTGCCAAATTGCACACGATGATGATCAACCAAAGTTTTGGTATGAGGTGAAGGCCTAGATCTCTTTCTACAAATGGTGAAACTGAGGACAGAGCAGATGGAGTGACCAAAATCAGCAAAAGGAGAGGGTCCATCCCCATCTACTACACGCTGTCATCAACCTTCCACTGGGACAAGTCAATAAAATGGTAGCCAAGTCCAAAGCTGCTGCTGAATTTGGGAAGGTAGGAGGGAAGTCAGGTGGGAAGAGAAAGACCTGAGACATGGGGGAAGGGTGCAGGCTGTTAGGGAGAGCAGAGCTGCGCAGAGAGACAGGGAGAGAAGGAAAAAGTGGGAAGCAAACACCATGGGAACCATGAATCACCCCACAGTTTCTACTCTACCTTTGGGAGGCGCTTGTCTCACCAGCATCCTCAAACTGCAGGACATTTCAGAGTCACTGGGGACCCAGCTAAAACAAGACCTGATGGAACAGGTCTGGGACTTCATATCTCCTCTGCAGTGTTTGTTTTATTTTATTCACTTATTTTATTGAGATGTAACTGACATGCAACACTGTGTATGCTGAAAGCGACAACTTGTTGGTTCCGCCCATTTTCATACTAGTTTGGTGGCCACTGTGGTCCTGGTTCCCTTATGCATCACAGAATTGTCATTTCTTTTTTGTGCAAGAACAATTAAGACCTAGTCTTTGAGCAGCTTGGAGGTGTACAACACAGCACTGTTGACTGTAATCACTATGTTGTTGCTCTGCATTTCCAAGCAGCTCCCCAGTGATGCCCATATGCCATTTGCAGACCACATTGTGGGCAGCAGGGAAAAGGTGAGCCCCCCCGGACGTATCTTTCAAGCCCCTGAAACTCTGAACCACACGTTCCCTCTGTCATCTCCCTCTGCTGTGTCCTTGTAACTGGAAAATACTGTATATTTCTCGGGGCTTTTCAGGTAGAGGTGTGTGTGTTTGTGTACATGGGCATATAGGCAAGAATGACGAAACCCACAGAAGATGTGAGCAAGCAGGGGGCAGCAATCAAATTGGAGCTAGAAGGCAGGCAGGCCGAGGAGCTGATATGGCAGAAAGACAAGAAGGCAGAGTTTGCTCACTCTGTTCTGGGTGATAAATCTCTACATGCCTCAATTTCCACCTCTGCAAAATCCGTATAGCATTAGACCTTAGCTCACGGGACTGTTGTAAAGATTACATTGACTGTTAAGTGAACGGTACCTCAAAAACATTAGTAATTTTATTATGGTTAATTACCCTCATGGCTAAATGTCAGCCCTCATGTACAATTGTGTAATCAGCAAATGCATAAGGGGCGTGGATTGTCTGCCCACCCTTGGCAGCATCCCTGAGCCAAAGGTCTGACTTGGCCATACCTCATTGATGTTCAGATGAATGAACTCCTTGTTTTTTGTGCTGAGAGCCTGGAACACCCCTGAGGGGAGAGAATGAGAGAGCGGTCATTGCTGGGGTAGCTCCTGCAGCAGGTTGCATTCTCTCCCCAGCACTGAGGGGCCCTCCCTTTGTGGTTGGGCAGCTCCTCTGGGGGTGTACAGGAGTCTAGAGCTGTGGACCTGGGCGTTCTTCATTCAGCTTCAACTCTGTCACAGCCCTGTCTTGAGGGGCAGAGTAGGTATGAATGACCAGAGGCTGCAAACTCTAAAAACCAGTCACACATACTCTCTCTCTCTTCCAGGGGCTGCAAATTCTGTTTGAGATAACAGGGTAGGTGTCTGGGCTTTATAATACAGAAAGGTGGGAAAATGGAGTGAGGAATAGAGAGGGAGAGAGACTCTTCTGACTCTCTGTGCTATGACAGGATTTGACCAGAAATTGGACAGTTCCTCAGATATGAGTCTGAAACCCAACCTCACCCCACCCTGTCGTCCTGCACAAAGGGGCTGGGATGTGGAGAGCGTGATTATTGTAACAAATGCTGTGCAGAGAAGACTTACACATGACGGCCCCTCAGCTAGCCGTATACGTCACATAGATCAGTCCACAGCCCTGGGGCCTGTCTTTGCTGTAATTGTTGGCGGGTTGCCACCGACAAGCTCCCAGAAGGTGACCAAAGGTGGAGAGTGTCCCGTGGTCAGGGTCCGGCAGCCCCACCGGATACTCACGGCCGGCATTCTCCAGCCGCACCAGGCAGTTGAGGAAGTCGTCGAAGCCCAGCTGGAGCTCCTCGTCTGCGCATCTGAGGACGATCAGCTGCAGGAGGTGGTTGCTCAGCTGGAAGCCTGTGGGGAAGCGTGTGAAGACACAGGCCACTGTGGCTGAGCCCCAAGGGGTTCACCTCCGGGGGTGCCCAGTCTGCCTAGGGGTGAACTAACAAAAGGGACACCCCTGTCCAGTGGAGGCTGCTGTCCTGGGTTTGAATGCAGCAGGCGGAGTGTGTCCAGGAGGGAGGTGGCTGTGCCCGGAGTTCGATGAAATTGGGTCTTGCTGTCGATGAGACCCACTCACGTTCTCCCCCAGCCTCCCTCTAGTTCCCTGCCTGAGCTCCCCTCCAGCTGCTCCTGCTGGGCATCTGGGGGTTCCAGCCACAAAACCCATAGTAAGTGAACATTTCTCAGTGGCATTTGGACCCAAAGCTGTTGGGGGCTCTAGAACCCGTGTTTCTCAAAGGAGATGCCGCTGCCCAGAGTGAATGACAAGGTGCAGGCTTCATTCACACACATTTCTGGGGGAGGGAGAACACCGGGCAGGTCACAGGCCTCCATGCAAGGTGGGCACTGCTCAGGCCGGTGGGGGGTGGGCTTTACTTGGGTTTCCTCACTGGTGGAATAAGGGGTTTCCCCAAGTAAAATTCCTTTTAGAGCCAATAGTTAATGCTTTGATTTCTAACCAAATTCCTTAGGAATGATTTTCCCCCCTTCTATTTTATTTTAACCTACATACTCCCTGGCCAGGAAATGTTCAAAGTATTGCCTAGAAGTGCAGCCAGGGTCTCCCTGTCTGCTCAGTCCAGCTCCACACAGAGAAGACCCACCCCTGAGTAGTTTTGGGAGCCTGCAGGGTGGGTGCCCAGAGTGCTGCAGCTGCACTCACTGGGGACTAGGTGGGGAGGGCGACCCCATTCTCTCCCCAAATCAGAATGGGAAGACTTGGTCATATCCCTCTCGGAAGGGAAAATTTTGTGTCCCCTACTTGGTTTTCTTCCTCTGGAAACAGGTCACCAACCCCTAAGAAAACCAGGCTCATCTCAACTGTTTCTCACACTTAAAACTCATCTCTTGTCTTCTCCCTCGCATAGGACCCAAATAGTCCTGGTTTGGTAAATTCTGTCCCTGTAGTCCTGAAAGCTGACGAATTTTCCAGGTGCTTGGTTACCTGGGAGGGAACGAGAGCACAGGTGTCGGCAGAGGCCAGGGGCCATTTCCCCAAACATGCTCTGTGAGAAGCACCACACAGCCTGGTGGGGGCTGTGGGTTGCAAAGGACAGTGGAGCCCCAGAGGCTCAGCCTGCCATGGCCGTGGCATAGCCAGAGGCACCCCAAACCCTTCCTTCCTGCCGGGAGCAGTGGACGAACTATGTATAAACCATCCGGTTAGGATTCAGCCTGCTGGTGAGCAAGCCGGGGAAAGGGCCGCCGACGGCAGAGTCTGTGAGTGTGTGAGTCTGTGAGCGGCCTGCTGCCTGCAAACCACAGCCCAGGCGTGCCCTGTCTGTCGGTAACCCTCACCCTCTGAAAGCAGATCAGAGGCCTGGCAGCACTGTGGCTTGCCGCCGAAGGGTCCCATGGAACTCTGCTTGGGCAGAAAACTTGGTCCGAGGCTCTGAGGCCTCTGGGGGTCACACTAAGTTCATCTTCTGTGGATATATTTTTAAAAATCCTGCCAACTATGCACAGTGATTTAAAGTGCGGGACCTGAAGTGACTGAGCGAGTTCTGGGTCTGACGTCTGGCTCTGCCCTTAAGAGGCATCTGCTCAGGTCAAAACCCCGCCACCTCCTGGAGTCCAGAGCAAAGCAAGCGGTGTCTGCAGGAGCACCTGACACACAGGCAGCCTGCACCCGGCCCCAGGCTTTTGTTACCTGCGGCTTTCAGGGCGATCCGCAGCTCGTAGGAGGACATGGTGCCGGATTTGTCAGTGTCGAATTGACGGAAAAGGTTCTGGGGGAGGAGAGCAGAGGCATGGAGGAGGAGGGCCCCAGGGAGGGGACGCCCGCCCATGCAGTAGTGGGGGGCGGCCAGTGTGGAGGGGAGAGTCCTCACCAGGGCCCAAAGAGGGAAGGGCCGTGTTGGGCCCTGCAAAAAGGTTGCTTCCTTCGGCTTTCACCTGGGATGGAAGCACCGTGGTGCCTCCAGAAGTATCATAAGCCCTCCTGGAATTCATCATGATGTGCTCTCTTGTGCCTTTTCTGAAAATTAACCCTCTTCCCTGCAACACCATGATCTCTAAAAGCCCCTTCTGCTCTAGGTTTGTACAATCCCCTCGGGGCCAAGCAGGGCAGGGTTACGTACAATCCACTTCTTCAGTTTGTCCCAGAACACTTTGAATTCATCAAACTCCAGCTTCCCGTTGCCGCTGGTCTGTGTCAGGAGTGAGTTAAGGAAGAAGCAGCAAGTATGTTTCAACCTGAGAATTCAGAGCCGGGCAGTGTGACGGGCATGGGTGACATGGATTCGGCCTTCTAGGGAGATGGTTCAATTATTAAACCAGGAATCTCTAAAGAAGGCACAAGGTAGGGGTCAGACAGGGAGTACACCTGAAGATGAAACACCCATGCACCCCCACCAGCACACCCCTCTTCATTTCCTGGGATGGGACCCCAAAGTGGCGGGTAAGATTCTCAAGTCCTTTTGGAAGGCGGAAATGTAAATTGATTTCAGACCCTAAAGAGCACAAAAGAAAAACAAACTTATCTAAACTCTTCTCTTTGAGGCTGGTACTTACAGATGCAGCAAATGCAAACAACCTTGGGCTGAGCTCCAGGGCTAGCTGGGAACTGAGATGCAGAGAGAGAAGGGGTTCTCCAGGGGAGGAGGGCAGCACCAACGGAAATTCAAAACTGCAATTATCTGAGAAGCTTCTTCATGCATCATTATGAAGTGCCCCGGGAGGAGCCAATAACCTTCAGCCAAGTCCATATTTCTTTGCCCCTCACCTACTTTTCAGCTTCTTTCCATCTTGGACCCTTGTGCCCTGAATTGCTTTGTTCCCTTTGTCTCCCACAGGCTGGGGACATTAAAACTTCCAAATAATTGTCCCTCAATGGTATAAAACATTGGGCTTATAATCCTGTGACGATCAGTTCTATCTCATATTTGGACCCCAAATCACTGCCCCTGCTCTTGGTGAGAAGCAGGCCCAGAAGAAAGGCCTTGCTCATCACCCCTCAAGAATGAGGAGCAGGTGGTGAGGTGAGGAGCAGGAGTAACTCCAGCATGAGGTGTTGTCACCAGCCTGGTTACTAAAAGTTCCTCGTCCTTGCTCTGGTCCTGAAGACAAACCCAGCTGAGACTGAGATGGAGAACTTTTGTAGGCATCACCAACCCTGAACTGACTTAAGGAAAACAGGAGATGGGACCGAGGTGGCGAATTCCATAGCCCCTACCCTGGATGAATGATGCCAACCCCATCACCTAATGGCCATGAGTCAAGATAACAGGTAGCACATGCTCATCCTCGTGCCTCACAGCCCCTGCACCTTTAGAGGTCAGAGATGGGCTTTGAGAAAATAGCCCATCACCTCTTCAGTCGCTGGCTCCTGATGAAACCTGATTTCCTTCCACCAGCTCTCGTCTCTTGAGCTTTGGCCTTGAGCTGCACATAGTTGGACCCTGGCTCTGGTAACATCTTCAAAAACAATCCCCCACAGAGAGTTTGTGCCTCTGGGTTCTGTTCCATTTCTAGTTCCAGGGGTCTCCGTCTTTGGCTACTGTTTGTGAAGACTAGCCTGCAGGTTATGGGTGCCATGTCCTGGGGAGGTCTGCAGACAAAAACATTTAACATCTATTTTTGCCCACTTATTTGGAAGGATACGTCCATTAGAGAAATGATGTTTTTACAGGAAATCAGACTTAGCTTCTTAAACTGAATGTCCTTTTCTGAAATCACACATGAAAGTAGAATTATTTGAAATCTGATAAGACTGTTCCCAGTTGCTGAGAGTCCCACAGTGTGGTCAGATCTGTGGCTGGCTAGGGTGTTGACCCTGTCAGTCTCTTAGGATACTGAGGAGAGAAGAAGTTGACATGGCCCTTGGGAAGGAAAATTTATAGAATATGAATAATGCCTTAAAAATGGGAATATCCTTCCATCCATTTATCCTCTCTTTATGATGTCTTTTTTTTTTTAATTAAACTCCCCCCCCTTTTTTTTTTTAAAGATTTTTATTTATACAAGAGCTGGGATACAGGCCAGATGCATGGGAGGGTTAGAGGATTCACCAGAGATAGAGCAGTAAGCAGAACAGGCAGACTGTTGAAACACATTGCTGAGGGGAGCAGCGGGCGAGATAGGAGAGGTCTGCTCTACCATTTGGGACCCTCACCGGCCAGCTGGGTTCAAACCCGCACTGCAGAGGCTGTGGACAGCTTCACAGTGCGGCACTCGACAGCCTATGCCACCAGGGAGGCCCTCTCCTTATGATTTCTAAGCAAAGAATTGTAAATGAAGACTTTTATTATTAGGTTATTTATAATGGCAAAAATTAGAAGTTCTAGAAAGGACCAATGGAAGGGTCTCAACAATAAGTTGGGTTATGTTCCTATGATGGATTATTATGCAATCTTTACAAATTTTTAAGCATATTTAATGATCTGGGGGAAATGTTCATACCAATTCATTCTACAAAGCAGGGTTAAAATTATTGGAGAAATTTGAACATTCACACACTGCTAATGGAAATGTAAAAGAAATGCTTTGGAAAATGCTTAGGCAGTTCCTTAAAACATTAGGTATAAAATTACTTCTGAATTTGAGCAATTCCTTTAACCATATTCCCAAGAGACATGAAAATACATGTCCACACAACAAACATGTCATATGAGTGAATATTATCCTGTATATTACATGCTACAACGTGGATGAACCTTAAAAATATCCTGCTAAGAGAAAGAAGCCAGATACAAAAGAACCACATATTACACGATTCCTTTTACATGAAAAGTCCAGAACAGGAAAATCTATAGAGACAGAGCGTATACTAGTGGTTGCCAGGGGATGGAGGAAGTGAAGAAGGGATGGTAAATGGGTGCAGGTTCTTTTTAGAGTGATGAAGTGCTCTCAAAATTGATTGTGGTGATGATTGCATAGTTCTGTGAATAACTAAGAACAGTTGGTTTGTGTGCTTTAACTCGGTATACTGTATGTATGTGAATTACACCTCAAAGCTGTTAGAGTAAAAATGTCTCTCTATCTATCTGTCTATCTATCTACCTACCTCCCACCCACCCATCCGTCCACACACTGATAGATGATAAACGGACACTTGTCCGCAGACACACAATTTTAAAAGTTATTTAAGGGTGTTGAGATGACTAGTGATTTTTATTGTTGCCATTATCTTTTCTGCATTTTAAAGAATTTCCTCCTGCAAACCTGCATCATTTTTGGAATCAGGAAAGAAGCCACAAAAGCTGTTTTTAAAGTCTGCCTGAACTCAGTCCTGGAGCAGGGAGCCTGGGGAGCATGAGCAGAACCAGGCTGGGTGCCCATCATGTGTCCACGATTCCATGGGAGCCCTGGGGATCCCTGAGGAGTGGTGGGTGGGAACACTTACTCTTTTGCAGCACAGCATCTAAAACATATTTGAGTTCTTCAGCTGACACCTCCATGTCCTGTTGAAGTGGAGACAATTGCTTTTTGTGATTCAGTATCTTCTTACAGTTTCTTTCAATGATGAGCTTAACTTGACTTGAGAGCTAATCCATCCCTCAGCACCCTGTTGCTTGCCCGGGTGCCCTGCACTGTTGGCCGCAGCCTGCTCACATCTCTGGGAGCTTCCAGCCACCCAGGGAGGGAGGTAAGTCAGGCCAGCCCAAGCATGCTTCCCCCAGCCCTGAGACCAAGCTCCCTAAATGGCTCCTGTGTCAGAGGACACTGGGATCTGAGTGTCCAAGCCTCTGTCACAGCAGAAGCACCAGGAGAGCTTCAAAAATGCCCATACTGGGGGTTATCCCAGGGGCTTATCCCAGAAGCACCAGGAGAACTTCAAGAATGCCATACTGGGGCTTATCCCACTTTGATCAGGACAACTGGGAGTATGCTTCATTGATTATTTTTAAAAGCTCTGGGGATGAATTTCAGAACCATTGACCTAGATGGTCCAGTAAATCCCACTAAATCTCAGCACCAGCTGCGCTCAGAAGCTTGAGAGAAATACAGAGTCTTAGACCTAGGCCAATATTATTTAAAACTACCAGCTGAGAGGTTTCAAGGGAACACTCCTAGAGCAGTATCAAGGGCATAGGAAGCCTGGGCAGGACAGGGAAGACCCCCACTCCCCCGACCCCCAAACAGCCAGGGTCTCCAACAAGCAAGCTGAGCAGCTGAGAGGATGGGAATGGGCAGGGAAAGGGCAGGAAGCAGGGCACAGACTCTCCAGGTTGCCTGACCCGCAGCTGCCCAACCTGGCCACATCTCTGTGAACTGGCAAAATGCGGGCATGCATTGGTGGCATCACAGGAACTGTCCTGACAACACCACCTTCAGCAGAGCAGAGAGAGCAGGATGAAGGTGCCAATTTCTGGGCAGAGGACAAAGGAATCCCCTCCTAAGGATTTCTGTGGTTCCCACATAAAGTTTCTGGGCCTGGCTGGGCTCCGCTGGGTGCGGTGGCCCCATCAGTGCAGTCTGGAGTGAGAGCTGTGAGGAGGAGGCCGTCCTCAGTCCTTCTCAAGAGAACAGGGCTGCTTTCTCCCCTCCAGCTCCTGCCTGCCTCTGGGTCCGTCTCTGGGAAGTGTCCCCTCATCCTTGGAGGGGGAGGCCAGACCCCTCGGCCCTGCACGGGCAGCCCTACCTCACCAGCGATTTTTTCAAACATGGCCCGGAACTGCTGCTCCTCCTCTGTCTCCCGAGCAGGCGAAGTTGGCTGCTGAGGCTAAAAATGAACCAGAGGAACTTGCTTGGGAGCCACAAGAGAGAAATTGGCATTTAGTTTCCCAAAGAAAAAGCAGGAAAGGTGAGCCCTGGGCAGGAGGTGATGCCACCCGCAGGGGGAGAGGCCAGGACCTCCATGGCAGCCTCACAGGGCTGTGCTGGTTGGTGCCCAGGACTAGCCACAGCCAGTAGCATTAGGAGTGAGTTTCCTCTCCTTGTGAGGGCTCTTTAGAAGAAACGTCTGGAAGGACTTCCTGGGACTGGTCGTGCCCTCCTCACCTGATAGATGAGAGGACTTTTGGAAACCTGACTCCTGGCAGAGGCCTGGTCCAGCCAGGGCTGCCATCATACTCCCCTTCTTCCAGGGCATACTGCATCACCTTGACTATCATTACCTGCTTCATCATTTGTCATGATAGGTGGTAAATCTTTATAGGCAGGATCTTTCTAGTACAGAGCACTGTACTTTCTAGTACAGAGCACTTTCTAGTACAGAGCACTGGGCCTGGTGCATGGCAAAAGGTCAATAAATGTTTTGGATATTTTGTTTCAGTTCTGCTCATAAGCTGCATCCCAGAGAGGGCAGCAAGGAGAAGAAAGTCCTTCCTGAAAACTGGTCACTGCTCGAGATGGGGGTGTCAGATGTTCTGGTTACACCAACATCTCTTGGAAACCTTACAACCCTTGGACAAGACTAAAAGCAGCCCCGACCTCTCTCCCAACAGACAACATCAGGGAGAACTGATGTGTTCCCCAAGTCCACGGTCAAAAATTCTACCTGCTTCTCCCATTTTTGTTTTATCAGTAGCTTTTCTGAAATTGCATACTTTTTAAAGAGATTCCATCCACCTAAAAACCATCAGTAACCTCTCAGGGAACAGAGGGAGTGGGCAGTTCTGTTGGAAGAAAGGTCACTTTTGTTCTCCAAGGGGTTAGAATCAAGGTATTTCCTTGCATTGAGGTAACCATTCCTTGAACTTTGGAATTTTAAGTGACGTTATGGTCTGAAGGAAATTTCCAGGACAGTCGCTGAATCCCACCCTCCACAGTAGCCCAAGAAGGCTCACCTCAGGAAGGGCAATGTCTACATTTCCATTCATGTCCCTGTGGGCACAAAAACCATGTTGATAATCATAGATTCACCTCCCCATTAGATGCTGCAGAGCTACAGGGTTCAGAGGTGCTGGAAGGTTCTGTACCATAGAAGCCTTCCTCTTCTGTGACTGCATTTCAGAGGGTTTGCAGCCTCTAGGCACTGACCTCCCTCTCCACTCGTCACTCAGACCTTGCTCAGCATGTAAGTTCGAGGAAGACCATGTGGTCATCACTCCAAGCAGGACTTGTCAATTCTGGGTTTTGTAAAAGACACTCAGCTTGTTGAGGGTTAATCATTAGTGGGAAAATTTTAAAAGCTTATAGAGCACGTTGAGGTGGAACCAACAAGATCACTTTTCAAGCTGGATTCTTCACCCTTGGCCCTTCCCCCATCGATGTGAACCCCTGAGCCCACTGGGAGGGTGTGTTTCTGTGCTCATGGGTGGAGGAATCAGGAGAACCATGACAGCAGGTTTACTTTGCTGCCCACACATATAGGGGAACCCGCAGCACTTGGGAAGTAGTCAGATTAGAGGAGGAGCAGGCCTCCGCTGTTAAATACGAAAATATCTGGAGGAATACAGTTTTACAGATTAAATCCCGAAGCATTTCCAAAGACAAATTATTGAAAATTCAAAGGGGTAAAAAATAATCAAACATTAACATGAAACCAGGACAGTCCCCTTTACCTCCTCATGCCCTGGGCCTCCACAACATAACCCTTTCAGAGCTTTTCATTATAGTTTAGGAGTCTCCAGTGAGGATGAAGCCAAGGGAAATTGAGCTGAATGTGGCTTTTCCGTGACTGAGCTACTTGTGTCTATTACTGATACTTGTGGTATCACAGCAGATGGTACATGTGTATGATACTCACTATCACAGCAGATTATAAGCGGCATTTCTTAGGTTCAATATCACCTTGGATTATACACTATTGTACATGCACTGAGAATGGAGTTACCTTTGACCTCACCCCCTTAATAGACAGAGAAAATGAAAGGTAAAAGATTGGCTCAGCCACAGCAGTTGCTGATCTGCACGGATCTCGCATTGGGGTCTTTTGTGTGAATGGATACTGGTCAATTCAACCTCAGTGTGTATCAGTATCTGAGAGAAGACTGGAGAAAGACTTTGCAGCAGAGTTTTAAAAATCAAAGATTGCATTGCTTCTCTGTTGCTGACGAGAAAGAACCGTGGCTTCTGCAGTCAGCTTGGGAAACCCAACCAGACTTTGTAATTGTGAAACTCAGTACACAACACAGTGCAATTCTATGCCACTAGACAAAACAAGTAATAGCAATTCACAATGCCAAAGGACAAACAGGAGCTCGAATACTTATGTCCCTTATCCAGAACAGGCCATGCAGCCACCGTCATCTCTATCTTCTTGTCTCAGGTTGATACTTTGATGGGAATCAACAGAAACAGCATTAGTAAAGCTTGTCATTCTCTGGGGTCCCTAGATAGTCTCCACTGGGAGAAGAAATAGGTTCTTGAAACTTGAATCACCCACCCACCGCCTCTGCCACAGAGTTATTAATGGTAAATGGACAAAAGAGAAACTTCTTCCATAGAAATAACTGATACAAAATAATTTTGCTAAGACATTTTGAGGGACAGATGGCAGAATATTGGGTATGTGAAAGGGTACTAAAATGGAGCTGAAAGAATGTGATTCTTGAGAGTTGGAATAGCCACCCCTTTTATCATGCAGAGAAACACCTCTGGCATCCCCCTCATGTCGCTCCCACCCCAGGAGCTTCTTGGTAATAGAAGAGCTTCTGGAAAATGAAGGACTTCACACAAGAGTGTCTTGTGAGCATGGTTCTGGAGACAGTTGGAAAGAGCAACTTTTTCATGTGAGAACTAACTGGAAATATGCTGATCAGTTAAGACCCTCCCTTTGGCTCTCTCCTGGTTTCTCAAGTAGATCATGAAGAGGACAGAGGGCCATGACTCCAACCACCCTCTGGTGACATCTCTGGGAGTAAAGCACCAAAAGGGGATTCTTGAAACTCACCGGGTAATGGCCTTCTTCTCTGAAAAGATCCTCAGGCAGAAATCTGCTTCCTGATGGGGCTCAAAAGTGCTGGGAATCAGGATGTACTCCCCAGGGGGCAGTTTGAACCGGTCAGAAACTTCCCTCAGGTTGATGAAAGTTTTCCTTTTGGCCTGGGAAGCGTGGTGTCTGAAGAAGTCTTTGCTCAGGTGCTCGATTTCGCTTGGGCACTGCAACAGGAGTGTGAGGGGAAGTGGTTTTCCTGGCTGCGGGTTTCGGCTACTTGGACACAGTTGAGGCCTGGCATTGAGTGTCAGGTGTGAGGCTGAAAAGGGACCAAGAATTTAGGACTCCATGGATTATCAACTGTAATTTGGCATCTACCCACCTGGTAAATAGCGTAGCCGATGCTCAGCTTATCAGCTCCAAACCTCTTGAGTTTCCTTCGATCTTTCTGCATCAGGGCCACAAGGAAAGTGCATTCCTCCTGCCCCTCATCTTTCTCAGTCAGGGACAATTTTATCTGTGGATTGGTCCAAAAGGTATCTGCCATTCAAAAGAGGCAGGTTATTTTCCCTTGAAAAAACTCCAAAACCAAAAAACAAAGGGGACACACACATCCTACCCACTCCCATCAAATTCTCTCAAACCTGAGAAAGTGTTTCTCCCTGTCCTGATTTCCCTCTTGCCCTATTTTCTACAACCCCCTGGAGAATGAAAAGGGGTCTCTTTTCCTTCTACCTCTTGGAACCATTTCCCATGCAAGTGTTCAAAGACATTCTTCTGCATTTTGTCCACTGCAATTTGTTCCATCTTTTTTTTTTTTTTTTCCCATTTTGCATTTCAAAGGCAAGTCCAGGGCACTGTGCTTGCCTCCCAGGGCCCACTCAATGGTGGTGTGATTTGAGCAGAAGTGACCTCAGGCCACCTCCAAGAGTGAATGCTGACTGTTCCACAGGATTCCCTCTTGCCACAGGGAACTGCGACAAGTCCAGTCAGCAGCATTCACCGGCATACAGGCTTAAGGAATCCCCAGTGAGAGGGAAGTTCAGGGCTTTTGCTTGATGACCCTTAGGAGTTCTTGCTGAGCAGGTCAGTGAATGAGGGCTGGGGAGCTGGCTGCTCTCCCATCCCTGTAAAGTGAAACAGCCAGAGGGAGAAGTCAACAGAGCAAAGAGAGCAGAACAGACTCTCATAAGCATATCACTGATCGATCTGTGCTTGAAGCCCACTCTGCTCCTCTGGGCTTTTCAGTTATGTAGGACAATAAATTCTTTTTTTTTCTTTCTTTTTTTGGAAGATTTATTTATTTATGCATACAAGAATTGGGGTACATGCCAGAGGTGTGGGTGTGAGAGCATTCACCAGAGACAAAATAGGGAACAGAACAGGCAGACTGACTGAAATACACTGCTGAGGGGAGCAGTGGGCAAGACAGGAGAGACCTGCTGCACCATATGTGGGTAACCTCCCTGGCCGGGGGTCGAACTCGTGCTGTAGAGGCTGCAGAAAGCTGCATAGTGCTGAGACTTAACCCCTTATGCCACCAGGGAGGTCCAATTCTTTTCATTTCTAAACTTGTGTGAGTGTTCTTCTATTACTTGTCAGGGAAGATAACCCAAGTGGTAAAGCAAAGGAGGTTCCTTGAGCAATTCTTGTCCAAAGTCCTACCAAACCTTTGCCACCCTCTTTTCCCAATCATCACTGAAATGCTTCTGTCTAGCACCTGTTTTGGGCCTTCTCTAGGGTCCTGGGCCTGATCCACTGATGTCCTGGTTTGGACTCAACACTTGGGGATGACAAAGAGAGGGGCAGGGAGACTACCAACCCAGGAAATTGCGGCAGCCTCCAGCAGTGGAGCCCCGCACCCAGCTTCCTTGGTGGACCGTTACTTCCCACTTGTGGAGGGCATCCTTCTCTAGGGCATCAGGAGTGAGGTTGCAGATCTCCACTTCATCAAAATGGGCCTTGAAGTCCGCAAATGCCATCCTGCAGCAAAGTGGAGAGAGACATGCTCTGGAGGGATGACATGGCATGACCTACTCATTCATTCAATCATCCAACAGTTATTGAGCACTTGCTTCTGTCCTGGAGGATTGGGGAGAAATCAGGCCTGGGGAGAAGAAAATAGACTCCCCCCCAAAAAAGGTAAAGAAAAGGTTAAGAAAGTTAAAAAGGAAGAAAAGCTTAAAATATAGGTTGATATATATATAAGTACTACAAAGGAAAACAAAGTAGGGTGAAGGGGGAGCGTGCAGTGTGGGGGATATTTTAGATAAACAGCTAAGGGAACTTCTGACTGTTCAGGTGGAGACCTGGAGTGTAGGGGTTGGGACATAACGACTTTTTGGCAGTCCAGGTAGTTGGAGAACAGATCTTAAGACGGCTAAGTCAGTAAAGGATGATGTTCAAAGATAATGGTGGACCAGGGTGGTCATCATAAGGCTTTCAGTTTTGACTCCGATTAGATGGAGAAACATGGACGTGTTAACATGACCCATAACCCTTGACCCATGAGAAAGGGCACAGATAGAAGTGGAGTCACCAGCTATGAAGTGCGTGCTGTTGTCCAGGTGACAGATGAGGGTGGGTCAGTCCAGGCTGGTAGGACGGGAGGTGGAGAGCAGTGATCAGGTTTAAGATATATTTTGAAGTTTGAGCCTATAGGACTTGCTGGAGGATTAAATGTGAGGAAAAGAAAGAAAGGCAAGAAGATATGTGGTTTGAATAGTTGGATGGATAAAGATGAGAAGACTGTGTTGTAGCAAGTTGGGGAGAGAAGGATTTGAGGTTCAGGCATGTGATCCTGTGATGTGCTATTGAGTAGATATTCACAGGGAGATACTGAGTAGATCCTTGAATATATGGATCTGGAATTCCAAGGAAAGGAACTGCAGATATAAACTTGGGAGTATTGAAACCATGGGTGATCCCCAGAATAGTTGTGCATGTTTGACAATCTCTTGAACCTGCTCTTAGGAAGGCAACTTTGTGTGACACTTTTCTATGAGTCCTGTGACACAAATGTGTGCAGAAGAAATTGATCTTAAGCCATATTCCAAGCTGGTCAGAACCAAGAGACTACTGACACAAAACCAAGAAAACAGGAAAAAAGAACAGATTAGACCACACCCAGAAGCAAGGTGTCCATCCCAAGAATCTGGAAAACTTTTTATATATAGATCCATTTGTAACTATTTGATCAGACTTATTCAAGGCCACAACTTTACATTCCTAACTTTTATTTCCTTTCTACCTCCATTTCTATAAAATCATTTCTAGTTTCCAGATTTGAGCCTTGGCTCCTATTTCCTTGTTGGTTGACCTCACAATAAAAATAAAACTTTCTTCCCCCACCAAATGGTGCTGTAGTGGTTGATTTTGATGAGTGACAGAAAGTGAGCCTGTTGCTGGTTTCAGTATCCATGCAAAGACAGTGTGATATTTTAATTTATAAGAAATATTTTGTCATTCAGGTGACCAAAGTGTATTTCTCATGTATTTGGTCTTTATGCACAGCTCCTGAGAAATGACTGCCCGAACTCAAATTTTCTTAGTGTTGAAAGTGATAAAGTATCTTTTGTTATGTAATGGAGGGGAGTTTGGGAAGCATCTAATGAGTGGGTCTTGGTTTTACTTTTGTCTAATGACACAAAGGACACAAACATTAATTCAAAAGGGCACCTGCACCCCTATGTTTATAGCCGCACTATTTACTATAGCTAAGTTATGGAAACAACACAAATACCCCAAAATACATGACTGGATCAAGAAGATGTGGTACATATACACAATGAAATATTACTCAGCAATCAAAAAAGATAAACTTAGGCAATTTGCAGCAACATGGATGGAGCTGGAAGCGATCGTGCTCAGTGAAATAAGCCAGAAAAAGAAAAATACCGGATGGTCTCACTCGTAGCAGGAATTTAGAAAACCTAAATAAGGGACCAGGAAAAAGACTAATTATAATAAAGTAAAAATCAAAATCAACAAGCAACTATAAACCAGAGACACACTTGGTGGGAAGGGGGTTGGGGAGGGGAGGAGGGGATGTATTTGGGACAAAATAAGGGGGGTGGGAATTGTATGGGTAATATAATAAAGATGAAAATGCATACATTGTGCAAAAATGAAAAATGATATAAAAAATATATAAAATGAAAAAAAAAAAAAAGGGGAAGGACTCAGGCAAAAATTCACTGGCGTGAGCATATGAAAGGAAACAGAACCAGAAATCAGACATCTGTGGTCTTGCAGAGTTGGAAAGAGTCAACCTTTTCCGGGTCGCATAGGAAGAAACAAGACTTGAAATGATTTCTAGAGATAAAGGGTCATTAACCAACTTTCCTTTAGCAAAGATTTTCAGCTTTGTGGAAAGGCCAGATGAAGAATTCCTTCCCACTGATCTGTATTTTGAGATGCTCCAAAGGTGGCTGCCTTCAAGGTTCCCTGTCATCAAGTTGGGCCTGGAGGTAGTGACCCCAGGACCAGCTTGCTGCCTGCATGCAAATTCACTGGGCTGCAGATTCAAATGCAAACTTGGATGATGGATGGTTTAGTGGAGGGAGGCTGGGTGAGAGCTGGGAGGATGAGCCTTCTGTTTCCTGGGTCACATGGATTCCCTTGACACTCTAAACAAATCTAGAGATGGGGACAGTCCCTAACATGTGACATATTAAATCCTTTGCCAACCTGGGTGGATATAAGGGTTTTGAGACAGGAGTATGTGATTTACTGAAATGTATGATAAAATTATACGATGAAATGGGGTGTTCTTTACACCCAAAGGCCATGGGGCCTTGTCATACCTGTTTTGCATTTAGTACAGAAATAAAGAGGAAAGAACTGTACCAGAATTCTCCATCGTCCAGTGCAGCGTGACACAGTCGCTTTTGCTCAGCGAGGCCCACAGAACGCCATTCAGAAGAACTAGGAGTAAAAAAAATCATCACGTGAGTCATGAGTAGTACTGGCCTTGTGTCGGGAGAGCACCCTTTCCTGGGAACCAGGGTGTGCGGTTATGAAAGGAATAGATCCTGGTCAGTGACTATACCATGGACCCCAGAAATGTACCAGAGGCTTTGAGATTGGTCAGAAAGTACATTTCCAAGCACAGCCAATGGAAGAAGGTGCTTCTCATGAGACCACTACAGGCAGGGAAACTCACTTGACCCCTGTTCTTTGTCAGCTGACACTTTGAAAAGTCATAATCATAACTTGTTTGACAAGCTTGTTTGACACTGATCTACCAAGTACTTTCTTTCTGCGACCTCCCTGGAAAGCTGGATTGTGTTCTGCCAGGGGGCCTTGCCTGTCCTCAGGTGAGCAGCTACCTACTGCCCTCCATATTGGGAATGACACCTCTAAGGTCACTGCTTCTTTGGGACATCCTCCTCCCTCCAACACACACACACACACACACACACACACCCCTGTCTCCAGAAGCAGTTCACCCTTGAACAACTTGGGGTGATCAACCTCCTGTGCAGTAGAAAATCCAAATGGAACTTATTGTCAGTCCTCCTTATCCTGAGGGTTCTGCATCTGAGGATTCAGCCAACCATCACGCAAGGTTGGTTGAATCAGTGGCTGCAGAACCTGCTGAGAGGTAACAGATCTGAGTATAATGAACGTGTACAGTTAAACCTGTGCTGTTGAAGGATCATGTGCAGTTCAAATGGGGCTGCCATCACCTCAGCACTCTCAAGGGGGGAACCATTTCCCCACACCCCGTGAGTCCCGACTCCTGGGGATGAAGAGCCCAGAGAACCCAGAGCCTCTCTCCAGGTTGCCCCTGGCGGGATCTGGAGAACAGAACTAAGAGCCTTTTTTTTTCCTTTGGGCCATTTTCTTCCAATGGCTCACACCACATAATGTGTCCAAAGGCTAAGCTGAGTTTTCCAGCCTCCCTCTAGCACCAGGCAGAATCAGGATCTGGGATCAGGGTGGGGACAGACCCTCCCACCCCTCCAAGGCTGCCTGGAGGCAGGCAGTCCCCAGCTGTGTTCCAGTAAAACCCACTTTTCCCTCTTCACCATGTTTCTCAGGGAAAGGAAAAAGTAGCCTTTGTCCTTTTAGAGACTCTGTCCCCTGAGTTAAGGGACTCTATCAATCTTAGGAGCTAAAAGCAGTCTCATTCCTTTTGATTTCGTGATTTCTCTTCCTTCCCTTTCTGCCAGGCGAGGAAGGCCGAGTTCGTGCCTGCTTTGATGTGGGTCTGGTGTGAATCAGTCTCTGCCAAAGTCCCTTGGTTCTGAGGAGGTGGAAGGCAGCAGGGGTTGGGGGTGGCGGGAAGGGAGCAGTGATGGGGGACACTTCAGTGTCAGTCTTGTGCCCTCAGGCTGGAGTCTGGTTAATAAAGCCACAGACACACAGATGACTGGCGCCCCCTGGTGACTTGTCTGAGCTGAGGCTAAACATGGACTTGGCTTTAATCAAGTTCTAGATTTGCACAGACTCCCTAGAGTCCCAGGAGCTGCAGGTGGGCAGAGAGGCCAGCAAGAGCCCAAGCTGGCCAGAGCTCTGGGTGAGGAAGGAGAGAGGGAGGTGGTAGAGACAGGTCAGGGTGCATCCTGCCTGTGCACACCTGCTCCATCCCATCATCCCAGACACAGGGGCCACCTCTCAAGGGACATGGAGGGGACACAGGCCTGAAAGGAAGTCCTTTCCTATAATTGGAGCCAAATAAATAATCCTGGTCATCAGAGCAGTCGTAGTGGCTGAATTTCCTATTTCACTTTGTCTGCCTCTCCTGGGCCACTGGGCTTCTGGCCAATGGCCAGAGAATCCTGTACTGACCTGCTGGCAGCATTCGGGGATTCTCACACCCAAAATACTCATTGCTACCACACACACACGTACAGACACACACACACACACACTTCACTGGGGCCACTCATATGTGGAGATAAAGACCCACCATACATGAGGATGTGAACTATCCCCATGGGAGGCAATACAGTCACCGACATGACTATAATCCCAGGGAAGACAAAAGGCCACTCTAAGAGTCTTCCTTGAGAGTCAAGTTTGACTGCAAGGCGGGCCCCAGGGGATGAGGGGAAAGAGGTGAGGTCACCCAGAAGCCAGGGGAGCACGTTAGACAAACTTCTCCTCCTTCCCAGGACACACCAGCCTGCCTTGGCCCACTGGACCCCATGAACAGCATTAAGGTGGGCGCCAGCCAGAGAGATGCGGTGGGGACCCACCTGTCGCTCCAGGGCCCATTCCACTCAACCTGGCCCCAAGGGTTCCGGACTCTGATCAGCTCAGTTTTCTGGCCTCGGAAGTTTACCTGGAAGGCAAAGGCAGCAGGGGAATGTGAAAGGATCAGTTCATGTGTGAGTTCCGGAGTGGTTCCTCTCAGCCGGGGCTGGCTTTACCGGAAGCCTCTTCACTTCTATACATTAAAAACATGTCAAAACTCATCCATTCTTAACTTGCCCTCGGAATTGTCCTGCTAAACATAGTGGCTAACGTGATGTGAATCTTCAGATGAATGAGTTACTTGCTAGACTGCAATTTCTCTAGAGGCTTGTTTATCTGGGGAGCCTCAGAATCCACAGAGAGAGGTGAAGAGTAATTCTGAGAAGCGCTCAGTAAGCTACTACTGACTTTCCTTCATCCATAGCCTCTTACTCACAGCTGAATGACAAGCACAGAAACACATGTTGGGAATTTAAACAGCAACAATAAATAAAAACCACATCTAGGTCTTCCAAAGCCAATATTCTCCCATTTGGGGTGTCATCTGCGGATCTCTGCTGTCCACATCAATAGCCCGGAGTCAGGAAAGAAAGCCCAGCCAGCCGTCCTTACTCTGCTCTGGGGCAGGAACTGCACAGTTCACAAGGGCTTTGGAGAAAGAGAAAATAAGACTCCTGCTCATCAACTAGCCAGAAATTTGAGCTCTCGGAGCAGTTTCCCTTGATATAGGTATATATGTATATACACACATACATCACACTACACAGGACAAAACAATATCAGTGTGAATGAACTGAGTTGCTCCACTTTCTTGGATTTTATTCTATCAGAGAGTTCCAAGTTCAGATTCAACCAACCCTGGGTGTTGCTTTGTTGGTTGAATCTTGAATTTGGAGAACCTATTATAACGGACTTAGGCATCTGTGGATTTTGGTATCCTAGGGGTGGCGGGTTGCCCTAAAACCAATACCCCACAGATACTAAAGGACAATTGCAGTTAAGCTTTTGAGGAGTCAACAGTTATGTGCAGCTAGTGCCCCTGCATCACGGGTCCACTGTGTATCTGTATTGTACCAATCTCCATCTATCCCTCTATCTCTACCTACCATCCATCCATCCATCCATCCATCCATCCTACTGAGTCTTTTCTCTGGAGAACACTATAATAGGATTGATGTGGAATTAGAGAAGAAAAGAAAAACAAAGACCAGGTTCTCCTACCTGCTGCACAAGTTGGAAACTATGATGGAAGCTCATGTTACTTTCTTCCCTGTTTTGCTGTTTTGCATACTGGCTGCCTCCTCTAGGTGACACATTCTCTGAAGTCTGAAAGCTCAGTTTAAGCTTCAATGCACTAAGGAAAAGGATGAGCAGGTCACGGCTGTCCCTGTACCCTCCAGCAGGACTGCACGTCACTTACCTGATCAATTCCCGTCACAGTGTAGGCATGACCCTTAATGAGACCAAAAGGTGTCCGGGCTTCGGACTCTGCAGTATTTCTGGCCTAAAACATGAAAATAGCACGGTTGGGCCCATCATGTAAGTCAGATGATGGCCTACCAGGCCAGACCCGGCTCTGCCAGGCCCGGACTCTTTGCTCCCCAGGAGGAAGGGACACACAAAATGTTCCACAGGAGGCCCCTTAGTAGTGACAATGAGGCATTCCCAGCCTCTCCCCAGGATGATAAGCCCCTCGTTCCAAACAAAGAGTTGACTTTCTGGCCCCAGACAGAACTGTCTGATCATCCTCTCATGGGGGTGCACAGTCATATGCACGTGGAGACATTTTGTTACACTCAGCTCCAGGTCACCAGCTTGAAAACACCAGGAGATGGGGCATTTAGTAGCAAAGAACAAATTCCCAAGGTTTACTCAAGAGGAAACAGAAAACTTGGATAAGTTTCACAACTAGATGAGGCAAAACTATGTGTGTGTGTGTGCATAAAGAAATTAGAAAAAATACTGTTAAGTATCTACTGATATATTTTTCATGATGTGTGACATCAACAAAGATTCCAGAAAACATTAGGGTTTCATTTCATGAAATCAAACCTAGCCATGCATTCCTGAGTGTGTGTGGTTGTTTGTATGAGCAAGGGCAGAGCTGAGAAGGGGACACACAGCACCGCTGGGGTAGAGAAAGGGACAGAGATTTGTCGGGATTGTTCTACCTGACACAGCAAGGGTGTCTGAGCTTCGTCATTTGAAAGACATTAAATAGAAACTTCTGCTTGGATTAAAATAAACAAACACTGACACTCCCCAGTCCTGGAAGTGCCAGCCCTCCTGTATGTGCTCAGGGCACCTGCTCATGCCTCTGACTCTGGCAGAGAGCTTGGAAGGGAGAGACAGGTGAGCGACTTACTTCGATGGAGCAGCCCACCAGAGAGCCCCTCTTCAAGGCCTTCTCGAGAATCTCATAGAAGTTTTCTGGAGCCTCTTTGGTTATGAAGGTCTCGGCTACACCCCCAGTGAAGTCTTCCATGGCCTCCATGGCGCTGCCCCCCATCAGCGCCTCATAGCTCCCATTCAACCTGTAAAGCCAGAAGTTTGGAAACGACTGCAGGGATGAGGAAGGCCACCAGGTGGTGCCCCAGCCAGAGGTTTTTCTAACTGAATCAGAAACCTCCCAAGGTTTGCCTGGCTGGGTGGCATGGAGGGAAGATGGGAAATAGGATTTGGGGTCTACTTGATGCTCTGAAGACACAAGAAATCTCTGTGAGATAGGCAGCCTGGTGTGGGTTACTCTGACCCTGGGTTCAAGTGCCAGACCCATCTCTTACAAGCTGAGTGTTGTTGTGCGAACCCGCTCATGATTCAGTTTCATGATGTGCAAAGTGGGGGACAGTTGTCCTCTCCCCTCTAGGACTGCTGTGATGTTTAAATAAGTCTCTCTCTCTCTTCATAGGACCTGACCAGGAAAAAATTAGTCGTGTAGACAGAGGGTTAAGGAACTTTTCCTTCCTGGTCTCAGGTACTACCAATCACACAACTGTACACGTAACATGTCTGTACATGTACACATACACATACCTGCACACAGAATGTGCATATAGACACATAATTTATATATGTATACTCTGCTTGAGTTATGAAATAAACTTTGTCGGTGTGTAGCAATGTTCACTATTATTTTCATTTACAGTTTCTTTTTTTTTTAAAAAAGATTTATTTATGCATACAAGAGCTGGGGTAAAGGCCAGAGATGTGGGGGGTGAGAGGATTCATCAGAGACAGAGCGGGGAACAGAACAGGCAGACTGACTGAAATACACTGCTAAGGGGAGCAGTGGGCGAGGCAGGAGAGGTCTGCTGTCCCTAGTGGGACCCTCTGGCCAACTGGGAATTGAACTTATTCTGCAGAGGCTGGGGATTGCTTCATAGTGCTGTGCTTAATCCCTTGAGCCACCAGGGAGGCCCCCATTTACAGTTTCTTAATGACAAATGATGTTGAACATCTTTCTATGAACTAATTTGCCTTCTTTAAGGAAAGACAAAGGTTGCCTTTAGGCAACCTCTCCTTGAGGCAAAGGTTTCAAATCCTACCAACTGACTCAAACCTTTTGCACAGCTTGGGGTGGAGGGAGGTGATGGGTTTCCTCTTCTGAGCTCCTGGAGAATGAAACCACACCCAATCCAGCCCCAAGCAGAGAAGCTGACCCTAGAGAGGAGGGGTCCCTGATGGTAGTACTCGTTGAAGGACTGGATTGCCCCCACCAGGCCTGGAAAGCATCCCCTCTGCTCACCCCAAGCCTGTCAGTGGCACCGAGGGTGTTTATGCAGACCAGGTGGGCATGTGGGCAAAGGAGCACCTTTGGGTTCTTTCATGGTTTAATCCCATCCTGCTGATTTCAGGATTAATTGAGCCTCCGTTTACCTTTACTTTATTTGGCCACTTATACACCCACTTGGAGGTAGAAGCATGGCCTTCCTCCCTGCTTCCTGTCTCTAAGGATGGATTTCCACAGCTTGAAGTTCCAGGTTGAGCCTAAGGGGACCCCGTGGGAGCTCTGCTATCATGGCTGCTGCTGACTAGCTGGTGGGCTGGAGAGCGGCATTGCCAGAGGAACTGTGGCCACTCGGGTGAATAGAAATGACTGTCGAGATTCTACTTAGCCGGGGTTCCTAGGTTAGTGACATCCAGAGACAGAAAGTAGCAGGGTGGTGGCCGGGGGCTGGGGGGCGGGGAGGGGATGTAGTGTGAATGGTGCAGAGTTTGAGTCTGGCAGGCTGAAGCTGTGTGGGTGATGGTTGCCTAACAATGTGAATGAACTTAATGCCGCTGAAATATACAGTTAAAAATGGTTAAAACAGTCAATTTACAATTTAAAAAATTTTCAAGGAGAATTCCAAAGTGGGAAAGTGACATCTCAGTCTCGGCTGGCCAGGAGCCCTGAGGCTTCTACCCTGGCTGTGCTGGCGGGGCCGTCGCCCAGAACACATCCCTGCACTCTGGCTGCTGCCAAAGGCAGGATCCACATGCAGGGGCGGAAAGGGATGCGCGTCGCCATGTGTCTGAGGATGGGCACAGCTAGATCCCGACAGCAAGCTGCCCCAGCCACTCCTGTTCCACCTCAGCCCTGACTGGGCCCCAGGCAGGTGGCCCTGCCGCCCCACACATGCCATCCCAGAGCCTCAGTGTCCCTCTCCACAGCTGTGCCCTGAAAAGGACCCAGGAGGGAGATTGGCCTCCGTGGGACAGGGGCCTGCCCGCGCTGGGCGACACTCACTTGGCATAGGCTTTCTCCAGCAGGGCGCTCCAGAACTCGTTGTTGTCGGCTGAGTGGAGGAAGATCAGGCGGTCCCTGAAGGTGGGCAGCCGGTCATCAATCACCACGTCTACCCACTCGTTGTATTGCCAGAGCTGTCACACAGGGCAGAGACAGATTGCAGGGTTGAGTCTCACAGGAGGTCCAGCCCCCCTTTGCCCACGTTATCACTTTGCTTTTTCCTCAGATCTGGAGGAAACTCTCACGTGGGTTCTGCGATGGGCTCAGCTGTTCTTTGTCCGTGGAGCCACGTGCAGAGCATCCCACCCGCCCCTGACATGGGCTCGAAGACCCTGCGCGGTCCCCTCAGAGCCGGGGTGGGCACTCCAGGGCTCTCTGACCAGTTCTCTCTCAAGAGGAAAAGGCACCCCTGATGACCAGCAGCTGCAGAAACACCTGACATCACACTGCACCCCAATGAGGTAAGTTCACTTACCTGGAAATGGAAGATCCCAGCATAACCGGAGCCAAAGTTTTGGTCCTGGGGGACCACTCTGGCCAGCGCTTTCTCATTGAGTGTCAGGGAGGCAATGGCAGCTAACAGCCAGCAGTCACCTGTAAGTGAAAAGTCCTCATCTCAGTTCTTACTGCTAATTTGTGGTAAACACGACAGCTCCATGGCCAAGGGAGATGTGGGGCATTCCAGCTGTGACCACGTTTTTTTCTGTATCTTAAAATAAGGGAAGGTTACCAGCAAATCTCTCTGCTCTGCCTCCCTTCCCAGCTCTCCTGCCCACTGAGCACAGACAGGTCTGGCTTGGCAGTGGTATAGCTCATGTCCACGTGGGTGTCACAGTGCTCTACTGCACGTCAGCTCCGTGGAAGGCCAGGAGGCCAGGGCTGTGAGAGTTAGTGTCAGCAGGCCAGGGTGAGTGACGTCTCATCCTGCTTGGCCTGTGGCACTTGGGGTGATCTCGGAGGGAGCACTCTGCCAGGGCTCATGCCTCCCCAGGCTAGACTTAGCTTTGTTGTAGGTAATAATAACTCATGGGTATCATCCACTTTCACTTATTTAGCATTTTCAAGATTTGTAGACTGATCTGCTGATTTCCCCAGATATAACCTTCGAGTTAGCCCCCATTCAGAGGAAAACACAAAAGTGAGTGTGAATATCAAGCAGTGTTTTAAGCGTACACTGTACAGACTCCCACATGCGTTCATGTGCTCATACTGAGCTTGGGGCAGGCACCTCATCTGTACCTATCAGAGCTCTAGCTGCTGCCTGTGAAAGATGTCTGAGCAGACATTGGGAATTACCTATTAAACCAACAACCTCCCCATTCTACCCCAAATGTATTTGCTTGTAGTCGATAATACCACTTGAATTCATTGGAACTCAAGTGTGGCTTCCCGAGAGTTGACATTTCAGGAAAGTTCTTTGTACCACTGGACTCAGGACACTGTTACACAACCCTTTTTTGGTCATTGCCGGAGACTATTTCACCAGAAATGTGCTCAGCTTTTGAGGAGAGACATTCAGATGGCATTTACACAATTCAGAACAAGGGAAAAAGCCCAAAGGAGATGAAAATTACTGATCACTGTTGAGTCTGTGCCAATGGATAGGTTTGGCCACCTCAAGCATGATGCTGGGTGAGGGTGCCCTCAAAGTTCAGTTTGTCGGGTGAAAGCATGCAGGTGGCCACTGATAGGGAGGGGCAACGATGGTGTTGGTGATAGTCAAGTGCTTATTTGGGGGGCTGGTTCACAGCTGTCCATTTTATTGTTATCCTTTATTCATATGTTGATTTTTTTGCATAGAAGTGGGGTATAGGCCAGATGTGGAGTGGTGAGAGGATTCACCAGAGACAGAGTGGGGAGCAAAACAGTGGACTTACTGAAATACACTGCTAAGGGCAGCAGTGTGCTAGACAGGCGAGGTCTGCTGCACCATATGTGGGTTAGCTCCCTGGCTGGGGATCGAACTCAGGTCATAGCAGTAATAGCACTGAGACTCAACCCCTAGGCCACCAGGGAGAACCTTCATTCATATGTTATATACAGTATTCAGATGTAGAAAAAGTGCCACAAAATAATATTTGTCATCAATTATCAACTAAGGTGGTAATTTCAAAATCGTTTTATACCAAAGTGACAAATTAAAACTTTGAAAAAACCAAAAGAGTCCCATCAATGATTTTCTAGTGATTGATAATTCCTACCCAAAGAGAATCACCAGGGGGATGCATGAAGGGCTGGATGAGGGGAGTAGGGTAAGAATGGGGTTGACAACTGAGAGGGAGATGTTGAAGAGAACAGGGAGAACCTCTTAGGGGGGCTACACCTCAGAAAATGAAGACCAACCTTTACACTTTATTTTTTTTGAAAAGCCAAGGTTATATTTAGAATGTATAATTCCATGTATCCACCATGTCTGTGTCTCTATGTCTATCATCTACCTACCTACCTACCTGTCCATCATCTGTTTATCTTCTGTCATGATTCATGTGTCTGTCTGTCTGTCTGTGTATCAATCATCTATCACCATTTTAGGTGTGACTTTTGAGTTCTGGGTGGGTAACTCAGCCACTTGTCATGAAGCTCCCGGCATGTCCCACTTCATCCGTCAGACCACAGTGGTGACCTCAGCTGTGGGGAACTCAGTGTCTGCTCCCGCTCACAGTAGTTTGCTCTCTTTGGTTCATTCCTCTGGGGGTTGAGGTGGTCCCAAAAGCATGAACCCCAGAGGCAGTGTGGCAAAGTGGTTAAGAGGAATTTGGGGTCCTGACTCTGCATATCTATCATGTCTGTGACTTTGGATAATTTACTTTGCCTCCCTGACTTGGGTTTCTCTGTAAAATTGGGAGCTTTTGCCAAAATTGGTTGGCAAGATGAAGTGAGCCAATGAGTGCTGAGGGGAGGCCTAGCAGGCGACTGACTAATGTTCTGAAGGAGCCGGCAGCCAGGCAGCGCCTCTGGGTCTCTCTGTTCTCTGAAAACCGGTGGGGAGCAGATCGCCAGGGATGTGAGTCCTCTGGCTCCCATTCAGCAGAGCAGGAGGCCAACTGGGGAGGAGGGGGAAGCAGAAGATGGGAGCAGTCATGTTCCCCAATCCCTGTGCAGGGAGTGGCTGGGGACCTGTGCTGCTTGAGCCTTGGCGGCAGCTCAGACCCCCAGGAGCATCTGTCCAACCACCAGCTCTCCGTGCGCGACCCTCTCACTCACCAAGATCCCCTTGGCAGATGTCAGTCCTGGTGGCCCCTCCGAGAATGAATTCTGGGTTTTTCACTATTTCCTGGAAGAATGAGGGCATCGTCAGTGAGGCCTGGCCCTCCTGCCCCTTCCTGGCGGGCTCTCCTTTCTTGCAGCAGAACACTTCTTTCCTGTTTCGTTATTTTTCCCCATGGAGGGACATGCAAAGGGACAGCCCAGCCTCTGGTGGGATGCGCCAGTCACTTCACTTGGCCCCTCCATCCCCTCTGCCTACATGCTCGTCAGTGCAGGAGCCTCTTCTCTGCTTGGGGAACTTGGTCTCATGTTCAGGGACCCTCCCTAGGAGCCTTTTATCCCCCCCACCCCAACATACTTGGTGTCTTCTTTCCAACTCATACTGTTTTAATGAAACCATCGGTGCTGTTGTTTCCTGTGACGCCACCTTCAGAGCCCGTCTTCTGTGAGGCTGGCACTGGCTTGCCTGTGAGAACCCCATTGCTTCCTCAGCTTCCTACACCATGCCCAGTATTCTGAGTGATGGTCACAGTGTGTTGTGGTGGCGGGATAAGGGGAGGCTGTGGTAGGACGAGGCCTTTGAGGGAATCCATGCCTTGTTGTACGCAGTGCTGACCCCAGAGAGGGCACTGAGCAGGAGATGGCATGAGCCCCACAGGCAGTAGCAGGGTGGCTTGATGAGTGGAGGCAGGGAGGCCAGCAGGAGGGAAGGAAGTAACTAGAATTTCTCAGGAGAAAGCCTGAGGCACTCAGTGACAGCCTTGTCAGGTTTAGGAAAATACTAGACGACCAGAAGCCGTTTAGACATGATTCAGGTGGACTGGTAAATAGGGCAGTACACACACACACACACACATACACACACCCTCCATCAGGAAATAGCAATAAAGAGCTTACCACTGTATAAAGAACTCATGTGTACCTTGAACTCTGCCCTGAAGTTCCAGAATCGTGTGTGTGTGTTAAGTAGACAGGCTGTGTATTTAACACATCTTCATTATTTTCATGAAAGGAGACAGCATGAAGGCAGACATGGGGCACCCAGTGCCTTTCAGAAGGTGGGATGCAGAGCAAATGATGGTGATGCCAGTAACCGCAGCAGGACGCCGTGTCTGCCGTGGGCACTAGTGTCTCAGCTTCACAGGGAGGAGACTGAGGTGTGGGGATGCAGTGGTGTGACTGGTGTGACCACAGTCCCTGGACAGATGGGTGGCAGGGTCTCAGCTGCCTCCCGGCCCTCTCTGCACTCCGTTCCTTGCCGTCACAGCCCACCCCTGGGGGCGCTCCCAGGCGGGTCCCCACCAGAGGGAAGGCAGCCAGCACCACCCAGTCAGAGGCTGAGCCCTGACTAACCCAGCACAGCAAATACTGACTCCTTGTCCCAGGCAGCAGCGCATGGCCCTTGGGACCATCACCTCCAATTGTTAGGGGTGGGGGGGCATGGACACTGGCTCATGGGTACTGCGGGAAGGGGAACAGGATGTGTTGGGCAGCCCCTTGCTTCCTATGCACCCCCTATCATGGAGACACTGCACGCTTGCTTCGTGAGCCCCGTCCACACTGAGCACCCTGGGCTCTGAGCAGAAGCTGCTGGGCACTTACATACATCACCCAGGTGAACACCCTCCCGGGAGTGGGGGCTCAGGCTGCCCCCCACCCTCTCCCTTGGGGGGGACCTGTTGCCTGGGACTGGCCCAACTCATCCTGAATAGCCTTGACCTCCACTCCCTGACTACCAAGACACTGTCAGACTCGAGTCCTGACCTCCATGGGAGTGAGACTGCTGGGGCCTGGATGCAGCAGATGCCCTGGAGGCCCCCTTAGAGCACCCCCAGCCCAGCCAGCTGTTGTGTGCTCCCTGCATCATTCCCAGCCATCACTCTGCATGGCCTCCCCTGGGAAGATGGCCTGGATCAGGTTTGTACTCTGCCTCCCCTCCTGCTCCCTCCTCTCCTGCTGCCCTCTCCAGGGTCCTTGGATCCTCCTGGCAAGCCCCCTGCCTGCCACCCCCACCTTCTGGCTGCACTCACCCCTGGCCGTTTCCACACGAAGGGGATCTGGGGAGTCTCACTGTAGAAGAGAGAGGAGCTGTTGGCCGGGAAGTCTGGGTCCTCAAACAGCGTGCCCTTCCGCAGGCACTCCTGCCTCAACTGCTCGAAGCTCTGGCCTGAGGAATGGATGATGCGAGCGTCCTTGGGAGCTGGTGGTTCCCGGGACCCCGGGGCCTGGTAGAGGTAAGGCATGGCTGCTGGCTGCTCCCCAACTGGCAGGTGGGCTTGAGGTCTGCGATGGGCAGGGAGGCGCACGATGTGTGGGCCAGTCAAGAGGGAACCAGCTCCGGGGTTCCTGGGCTGAGTGGCTCTTGGTCTTACCATTAGCCTGGCACCTCCCTATCAGGCCCAATGGGGCACACCCTGATGGTAAACTGCAGAGAGAGCCCTCCCCCCTCCAGGGACTCTGCAGATGGGAGCTGAGGGGCGGGGCCCATTCTGGGCAAGGCAGCACCCAGCACCCTCTGCCTAATGCCCTGAGGAGACCCGCGGGAGCTGGAGGATGCGGGATGAGGAAGGAGTGCCAGGAGCCACATGGGTCCAGGAGGTGGCAGGCAGTGTTCGCTGGTCAGGGAGAGCTCTGCGGGAACTGGGATCCTGTCTTCAAGTTGAGAGTTGTCCTCTGTAGTGGGCGGTGGTGAGTCATTGAGGTACCTAGTATGCGATCAGGGCTCACACAGCCCTTACATGCCACCTAATGTGACATAGAGCAGGGCAAACTTCACGCTTATCTGCTCTTCCCTGGCGCTCCCAGGTGTGTGCCCTCACCTGCCCCAGCGCCTCCCGCGGGCAGGGCCCAGATGATGGCCTCAGGGGTCCTGGCCCCTGAGCTGGAGGAGCGGCTGCCTGTACCCTAGACTCCTGCTCACTCAGCCTTGGGAGAGGCCTTGGGAAAGTGACTGATGCTCCGGTGACTGCAAACGCGGGAGACTTTCCCAGCAGCTCAGGTGCCCCCGTCTCACTCTCAGAGCCCGCCCCACCGAATAGTGACCCTCCCTGCAGCACCCCGCGTGTTCTCATCACAACCCTCCATTATTCATTTAACCAGAATATTCCAGGGACCCAGCACATCGCCCCCAAATAAACCATGTTCCTTCCCACGTTAGAATCCAATCCCCAGCCCATTTCAACTCTCAACGGTTCTCCAACTGGGCGAGATCGTCTTCTTCCATCTGATGGACTTTCCTCTTTGGCAACTGTTCCTGTCCCTGCTCCTTGTTTTCACAAGCACGAAGGGTTTAGTGTGTGCCCATTAGTATGGGCACACACAGCCCTCACACGCCACCTAATTTGACATAGAGCAGGGGCAAACTTCACTGCAGAGAGCCAGATATGCTTATCTGCTCCGCCCAGGCGCTCCCAGGTGTGCGCCCTTGCCTGCCCCAGCGCCTCCCGCCAGCAGGGCCCAGGTGAAGGCCACAGGGGCCCTGGCACCTGTGTTTAGTGTGGGGTCTTTTCATTTTTTAAAAAGATTTATTTATTTGTGTATCCAAGCACTGGGGGTGTGGACCAGAGGTGTGGGTGTGGGTGGGGTGGGGAGGGAGGATTCACCAGAAGAGTGGGAGGAGAACAGGTGAATTGCCTGAATACACTGCTGAGGGGAGCAGCAGGGAGACTGGACAGGTCTGCCATGTGGGTTCCTCCCTGGCGGGCGGGGTTGGTGCCCCCTCCTGTCCTTCTGGGCTTGGCATCCTTGTTTCCCACCCCTGTCTTCACACTGGGAGGTGTGTGGGGTCTGCTCAGTGGCCCCACCTGGTAGCTTCTTCAGCTCTGCTCTTGTCAATTGGGTCCACCTGCTGCTGCATTTCGGGAGTCATGGAATGTTCTTTCTTGGACCATCTCACAATGCTTAGGCTCATCCCTGCGTTTCATTTTATTCTTCCAATAATAATGGTGTCCAAGTGTCTGCACATGTCTACAGCGATGGGGTCTCCTCTGAGAAGTGGCTACAGGGCTCCTTTGCCCGCTGTGTATTGGGGTCTTGAGAGCCTGCCTCAGTCTAAGGCACGCCCTGGTGGGGACCCATAGGAAAGGGTCAGCAAAAGCCAGACAAGTCTGGGAGGAAAAGAGCAACATCCAAATCCAGATGAAAGCTGCCACTGTTGGGGCCTTCCTGGTGGCGCGGGCGGTTGAGCGCCGCACTGTGAAGCTGTCTGCAACCTCTGCAGTGCCAGTTCGATCCCGGCCAGCCAGCGAGGGTCCCACATGGTGAGCAGACCTCTCCTGTCTACCTGCTGCTCCCCTCAGCAGTGTATTTCAGTCCACCTGCCTCTTCTGTTCCCCAGTCTCTCTCTGGTGAATCCTCTCACCCTCCTGCACATCTGGCCTGTATCCCGGTTCTTGTATAAATAATATATTCATGAGAAAACATGTATTGATTGTCTTTGTTCTGCTTCAATGCTTGTGTTGATGTAATCTCACCTCTCGTCTTAAGGTATAAATAAAGACCTGCTGAGACCCTCAGTAGGAGACACTTGCATGAGAAAAGGTGTCTATGTCTGCCTCATCTCCACTTCCCCTCAGCCCCCCAAGATTTCGCTGATGCAGTCCTCTCCTTTCTGAGAACCCTGACACGACATTCTGCTGCAGTGGGCTTCCAGCAGGTGGCACCTGAACAGGGACCTGAAAGGTAAGTTTCTTTCCTTTTCAGGGACGGTTAGGCTCTGCTCATGGGTAAAGTGTGTACTGGAGCAGTAATTCAGAACAGAGAAGTCGAGTGGGTGTCTTATGTATTGGGAAGTTATGGGCCATACTGAGTCTAAGGAAAGAGGACTCTTTATTGATGTCATTAAGCATACACTTGCTAAGAGAGGCATTAAGACCTCTCATGCATAATTGGCTAGCTTCCTAAATTTTGTTGAGATGTGCTGTCCTTGGTTTCCAAGGGATGGAACTCTGGATGCAAAAACCTGGGCCAGAGTAGGAGAGGAAATGACAACCTATTATACTCTCCACGACCCGAGAAGGTTGGTTACTACAAGACATGCTAGATCAAGGGTCTGAATTGGAAAAAACAAATAAGAAACTCAGAGAGTCACGGCTGTCCGTGCCTGGTGCCTCTTTAACCTTAGAGGGCATCAAAGAACCCTGGGCTGACAGCCCTGTGTTAACAAAACAATTGCCTGAACAAGTAGACTGGCTAAGCCTGGCTGAAGGTGAAAGGAAAGAGGCAAAACCAAAAGTGAAAGAAAAATAGTCTATAGTGTTGAAGAAAGTGATCAGGACTCTTCAGATGATGAAATTGTTTTCTAAAGGTCAGAAAATAGTTTCCGAGCCAGTGCAGACCTCCCAGAGAGGGCTTTGGCTCCTAATTATGAAACCATTCCAAAATCCGAACTGATTTCCAGCCCGGACTGGGCTGAGATTATTAGGAGATAAAAATAAAAATTCAAAAACAAGTAAGAGATAATGTGACATGATCTTATAAGTAAATTAAAAAAAAATGCTTCAAGCTTTTCCTGTTAATTATTTGGGGAGGAGGCTAGGTTCCTCCCACTAGAGGTTTCCCCCCACTAGAGTTTTGCCATTTGTTCTTTTTAAATAAATAAATAAATAAGATATTTCTAAATAATAGTTTCTAAAGTTCATTCACAATTGTTAAGGTGATAGAAAATGGTTAAATATGACTATATGAGGCTATATGAATATATGACTGAAAGGTTTTCATGAAAATAGTATAAACCCACTGCAGCAGATGGGTGGGGGCTGCCCCTGGTCTCAACAAGCAGCTGCCTGGACTTTTTCTCTGGTGTTGAGATAACTGGCAGGTCTCTACTGCCTTCCTGCTGTGGGGGACTGGACCCTTCTATTGTCCACCTTAGAAAACTATTTCGGTTCAGCCTAGGAAAGAAGTTTTATTTCCCTTTGTTTTTCTGATTTTAAAGCCTAGATTGTCTAAGGTAAAAACTGCTGAGTTACTTTGGACTTGCTAACAAGCTATACAAAATTCTTATTGGTTGAATAAAAGCTTTTAAATTTACTTATTGGACCTGTAAAAGGTTAAGTTTCTTGTTAAAACTATTAACCTGCTAAAATATAAAATGATAATACAGACATTTTTGAACTAAATTCTAAGCCTCAGATTTTGATAAAAGCCTAAAAACAGGCTGACTGTAAAAATTTACCTCTTCTCCTGTTCTCAAAACAACAGTGTTCCTTTTTGTTTTAAAATATGCTTGCTCTCAGTGAGATAAAGCATTGACAACCTAAAGCCAAAATATCATTTCTTAAAAATATAAACTTGAAAAATATTTTCTTATCTAAAAAAAAAAAAAGAGTTAGTAAAAACTGCCTGACTGTTGTGGTCTCGAGCCCAATGTCTTTGGTAATAATTAAGATTAGACACTTATTCTCTGGGCAGATTTTAGCTTTTAACTCATTAAAAACCTCAGTGTCTTCACAAATATTAATAAAATAACTATTTCTTAAAATATATACACATGGCCAAAATTTTAAATGTATATCAAGAGAACTCTGTATCTGTTTGTCCGTCTTTGTGTTTTGTTTTGTTTTTTAACTCTGGAGGACTAATTATAAACAGCGTCTATATAAATTCTAATAGAAATGAACCCAAATTTTGAGATGGCGATCTAAAATTTTTGGTAAATAAAAACTAATTCAAAATGTAATGGTTTAATTAAAGTATATATGCCTTAAATTTACAATGTTAATAGTTAGTAGCTTTATTGTATGTTTAAATGTGTTTAATTTGGGGGAAAAAAGGAGCTTGGAGTAAAAAGGGGTTATTGACCTGGTCTATGTTAACAGATAAATGTGGATAAATGTGATTTTGTCTATACCTGGACTTCCCCAGGTGAGCCTCTTAACTGATTTTTCCTTCCCTTGTCCTAGCTAAGAGAAACCTCAGGTATTATGAAATTATTTCATTTGTAACTCTGTAATTTGAACTTCCTGTCCTAAGGAAAACTAAAGCTACAGTTGGTATCTCTATTTTAAATCTGTTCTTTTTATCATTATTTAAATGGTGGTATATTTCTCCTATAAGACTAAGGATTTACTAAGTTCAATAATGAAGATTTGTTGACTGCTTAATGAGCTTTTGGAGTTTTTGCTTCTTATAGTAGGAAAACTAAACTTTATTGTCATCGCCTAAAATATATATATATAAAACAAACATGTTTATGTATAAGTTATCCATTGCAAAGGAATAATAGCATAACAGCTCTTCTGAC